TTTCCTAAAGAAAATATTCTACATCAAGCAAACACACATTGGTAGGATTAGCACTGCAAGAGATTCAAACATAGAAAATGAAAACAATCACATTTTAAATTTAGGATTTTTTTCCACTATAAATTTTCCTCAATAGTTCTACCTACTTCTATTCCCACTTAACTATTAACTTGAATTTTTTTAAAAAATAATCTCTCTCTTACGCTATATATTCTTTCATATACAGTACCTTAAATTTTATTTTCACTGGATAAACTGGACCCTGGGCTCCAATAATACTCCCTCCTTTATTTAAAGTATGTCAGAAATAACTAATGCCCAGGATGTAACTCCAGGCTTATATTGGTAAAACTGAAAAACAGAGTTTTCTCAGTATTTGAGGTAGGACTTAAAAAATAGTAGATTGAATCCATTTTAACTCTAATATGGGCAAGCATTTGCTTCCATAAAATCCCTTCAGAGCGGAGCTCACCCTACAGCTTCATTATGATTGCTCAATCCACAGAGCACACAAGCAAAACCTCAGCAAGGGGTTCAGATTAGCCAAAATCATTTGATCGTGATGAGTCAGAAGGCGAATTAAGGGATCTTTTGTTTTGCCTTAAAATGTCACGCCACACAGTGCATCTGTTCAGGAGCTGACTCACCAGAGCTGCCGGCAGCAGCAGCAGCGTGGTGGGGACAAGGAAAAGGACCCGCGGAGGGACCTCCTCGGCCAGCCCAGGCCACCGCACGCTACTCATCCACTATAATCACCCGTTTGGACGTGAGAGAAGAAACCGCTGGCTCGCCTGTGCTAAATCAAATCTGGTTTTTAATTTTTTTCCTGGGTTTTGCCATTCTGCAATCAATACTCTACAAGGAGTTTGGGATTCGTGCTTGCCTTCAGATCGTCTCATCTCCCTCCAGCTAGTTCAAAGAGTGAAAAAATGGATGGTCAGCAAACCCTGAACAGTTGCTAGCTGGATTCATATCTGAAAATCAAACTATTACCTACACTATCCAAACCTCCCAGTTGAGAAAAATGAAAGCAGGAAGACCCATAATCTCATTCTTTTCTTTTCTTTTCTTTGTCATGCCAGAAACACTCAATAAAAATGTCTTGTAGCTTATCACTTTTTCAATCTTTACATGTGGAAAGGATGAGAACGAAAAAAGTTTGCAACCTTTTCTAGATCACAAGAAAAGGGGAAATAGCTGATTAGCTCAGAGACGCTGTGAATTTGGAGTGAGGAAGGAGCATCAAGTAAACTAACCTAAATCAGTTTATATTCTATAGTAACTAAAGATAAAACTTGTTAATACATCAAGAATATTAAAATTCTTAGCAGACTTCAAATTCAGAAAAACTGTGTCAAAAGTCCAGCAACCATACTTATACAGAAAACCCGTTACATAGGGAAAACATCAATTTAAATTCAAACCATTTATCGTTTTCAGTCCGTATTCAAATCATAAAGCGCACACAGCGAGTTAAACCTTCTGAACTCCTCACTCAAAACTAAAGCATGTCTTAAGCAGTCTGCAAGGGCAAAATGAGAGGTGCCTTTGGTAACTGTCTTAAAACTTTAACATTCATTAGGAAGCAGTATCAATATTTAAACATGTTACTGTAAGGGCATATTGGACACTGATTGGTTTGCATTACTTTGAGGGGGAGAGGATCATGGCTGTAAATATCATCCACATACGGAATATGCTATTAAAAATAATTACAGCAATAAGGTAAGCGATAAGTAATAGCTCTACGTTACTGGAACAATTAAACAGAAGGATATGCTCACATTTAAAACTTTCCCAGCATGATCCCAAAATGACCACAGTGAACAGCCATGGCTGGTCTCTAACTGCTCTAGCATCTAATAATATCATTGAATGTGGCGATCTGAAGTGTGTGCACAGATTGAGGCTGTTATATTTATTGCACAGAAGATCCCCAAATTCATTAAAGCCTCAACCCAACAGGAGACCCTTCCTGATGATGTGCGGAGCCACGGGGACTCCCGGAGGCCGAAGTCCTTTGAATCACAAAGGCAGCTGGGGGCCGGGAGGGTGTTTGCAGAACCCAGGGGACCCACGACAGCTCTCGTGGCCTTTCCACCATCCCCATTAGAAGAGAGCAGCTGGTTTTTTTTGCTTCTCTTTTTGGCTTGCTCAGAAGGGTCGCCCTGCCAGCCCCACAGAGCCAACGTTGGCCTAGGGAGCGCAAAATCCTGATCCGTTCAGCTCTATATCCCTATCTATACCCTGTGGTTCCTGCTAGCTGCTGTTGGCGTGTAAAGGAATAGGAGACATGGCAATGGGCACAACTGGAAAATATGAATTTATGGTGTGTTTAATAGAATAAGTATTAGCACTAATTCAATGGGCACCAGGAGAAAGAAACTGTTAATGACGAAGGCATTTACTGTTAACTGTCTAGGAGAATGTAGGAAAGTAAATCATTGCATGAAAAGGGAGCTCCTTTTCTAAATCTACCCCATTAAAACACCCGCTAAAGAGCCAAAGCATTTAGTTACTGCTTTCTACTTTCCCACTGCCGAAACTAAGTACTCCTCTATTTACTTTGATTTAAAACTGCATTATTGTCTACTTTCTAATAAACCAGACAGTGGAACAAGAAACTCAAATTATTCTAAGTTTATTCTTAAAACTTTTTTTTTCGAAAGACTGAAGGCCTTAATCCTTAAAAGCCTTTTTGAAAGAAATGTTACTAGATGCTGGCCTTGCAGCTGGGCCCAGATTGAAAGTGCACTTACATTTTTTATGTTTAGAACTGAAGGACTCTAAAGTTAGTCCTCGCACTCCACATAAAAGCTTTGGAAAATGGCATTCTTTGCCTCCTCGTGCAATTCATTCTTTTAAGAAAAGGAAATGGAAAAGAAAGATTCCATGTCCAGGGCTCCAGGCCCCTTTGATCATTTGATGAACATTGGATCCTCAACCTGGGCCTCCAGCTTCTCAGGGCAGACAAAGAGGGCCCCGGCCGCACAGGCCGGGCCGCGGCTCCTGCCAGAACAAAACCTTTGGCGGCCGCACAGTGTGACAGCCTGGGAAAGGCCCACCTCAGCAGGGCCGAGCTGCCCGCTCTGCCCTTTGATCTTTCATTTAAACCCCCAGCCAAAGCCCCAGGTCAGAGGGATTTCCAACGGCACGGCCCCCGTCGGCAGAGGGGAGCGGGTCAAGAACAAAATGGGGGCGAGCGCTCTCAGGAAGGCCCGCGCCGCCTTTCTCTGGCCAGTTTCACATGACTTGTCGCGCTTTGTGAGCGCTAAGCCCGCACTTAAAGTGGAATTTGACATTACATGGTACAATGGAGTCAATAAATGGCATTCTTGGGTGCTTTTACAACAAAGTCAACCCTTCCTTAAGTGGTTCAGAGGCCGAAGCTGGAAAATACTTCTCATTTACTTCTTGCTGCAAGCCTGTACTTCAAATCTGGCTTGTCCTGCAGCTTTCTGTTGCTGAAGACCAAAATGAGCCAAAGGTGAATATTAATTTTACAGGGTACCACTGCTTTCATTTTTGAAGGCTAGGTTGTCATGTGCCATATGCCAAGGATCTGAAATATCCTGGATGAAAACAGCGGGAATAAAAATCGAATCTCATTCCACCGCAAAGTTTCAGGATAGCACTGAGGAGAAGGCAGGCACACAGTTTCTTGGAAGATCACTAGAAGCTCAGGTTGGATAAAACATATTAACAGCCAGAATAAGGGCAGGAAAAAAATGCTCGACTCTTGTGTCCCGAGGAACAGCACGTCACTGTGTGCCGCAGCATGGGGATACACAAGGGTCAGGAAGCAACAGGGGACTGCAAAATATGGAGCGTGTTGAAGATTTTTAGTAGCAACTGGAAGACAAAGAAGTAAATATTATTATAAATGTTATTTCTCTGTATTAACTAATATATGTTATTACAATGAATCCTTCTTCTTTTAAATGCAAAAACATCATGCCAGACCAAGGTAGCGTAAGCATTAAGCAAGGTCAGTGATTATTCTTTGCTTATTTCCAACCACACAAGATATCTCTTACTCTTGAAATGCAGTCCTATGCAACTGCAATACAAACATAGCCAAAGGCATTTGGGAGGACACAACCTACAAATAAAATTGACCATGATGTCTTTAATATATGATGAGGTTAACACACTTCTTTTTGAAGGCAGCAATCAGTAGTTAAAATGTTGCTTTTTTGCAGTTTTTTTCTTTTTCTGAGATATAAAGGTTATTTCACAGTATTTCCCACACTGAATAATTTACTAGTCCATAAGAAGTAAAGGCCCCATCCTCCAGGCAACTGCAATGTTTTGTTGTAATGGAAGAATATATATTTATGCTGAGAAAGATAATTTCCCACTACACAAGTAGTACTAGTACATCTCACAGATCAGGAAAGCAAAGCACAGAAGTTAGAGGACTTGTCCAACACTGAGTAGACAGTGTTAGAGCTGGGATCAAGGCACTAGGCTATTTATTTTCAGATTAGTGTCGAATTCACTATAGTACTTTTACTCCTGAAAGGCAAATTTGTGCAGCCCCCAGCACATGGGAGCCTCACCTATGCACTATGGTTGTTGCAATGGTCAAATATGGAAAGACAAATAACTGTATTTGGCTGTTGCTGGGGAGGTGATGGCTGACTGTGTAAAGGCCAGGAAGCAGCCCAGAACCAACTCCGATAACCACTAAACAATGATTACACAGTCCCGAGGCGTCTCTTCTCCGTAAGTGCAAAACCTATTTTAAATGATAAAGTTAAAACACAAATACTTCTCAGCAGCACAAACACATCTGCTCATTCATAAAGCATTTGCTTTTGGTGGTGTGTTTTGAAACCACTATGAGTGAGAAAGCACAACTTAAAGACGTTCAGGAAGGAGTACAATTTGCCTCCAATTTATTCGAAGGCTTTCTGTGACTATCACTGCCCGGGTTGTCTTGGCAACGCACGCACATCTTTCAGGACGGAGAACATAACAAGGCTTTGGATTCTCACCTTTGGCCATTTTATTGAGAACCATGTCAATTAGAATGTAGGTTCCACTTCTTCCTGCTCCGTCACTGCCAAAAGAAAGGGAAAAAGAAAGCCCATCAATGTGCATCTAGGCGCAACAAAAAGGTACCTGCCGTCAGCATCACGCTACGTTGCATGAGGCAGGGAGGGCAGAACAAGGCGAAAATGTAGGGTACTGAGGGGGGAGAGGAAACCTGCACTTAATTAAGGCCAGATTCATGTGAGATTAACCCTTCATCTGCACGGGTAACAGGGATCTGTTTGGATTTTTAAGCTGAGCTGTGTTTATGCAAAATTTTAAGCAGCAGTGGAAAAGCCAGTAATCTTACACTGGGAAGCCATTTTGATGCATAAAGTGTACATATAATGAGCTTATCGTCACTTGGTATGGGATGAAAAAGCACCAAATAAGCCGGCTGCAAGAGAACTGCAGCAAGAAAGAGCACCCAGAAGCATCCCCAAAGCCTGCAGGGTGCAGTTGAACACAGGAGTAACTCTTCCTCAGTCACAACGAATGGAAAAAAAGAAAAAAAAAAAACAAAAACACAACCAACCAACCAACCTAACCACAAAAAACCCCCACATTATTATGCAATTCCTGAGGAAAATAACTTTGGGTAGCATTGGTTCTTCCTCAGAGATGGGGGAGCAGGCCTCGAGAAGAGGAAAGCTCCCTCATCTGGACGCAGCTTGGGTCCCTCTCCGAGAGCAGCTCAAAATTGGCAAAGCGATGCTCTTTTAGAGCTGCTGTTAGCAAACATAATTAAGACTTTAAGTAAAAGCTTTTTTTTTCCCCCTTCCCACCCCAAAACTTTTATAAAGGTGCATGTGTGACCAATTAGTCTGGTATGTAGTTCTATTAATTAAGCCATTATTTTTATTGATAGCTCAATTTGTCTACAAGAGCTAATGAAAGGAAAAATAATGCAAGTGTGAAGCGTGTTATTGTTTTCCATTTACGGGCAGGCTGTGAAACGTAATTTTTGTTAAGTCTCTGTAGACAGAGGCTTTTTATCAGTTACTAGAGCCCTTCTTAGACAGAAGGAGGTAATAGTAATTTTTCTCTTTTTCCTCCCCACTCTGCAGAGTGCCTCCTGGCAGCTGGTGTAGGTGGCCCTGCTCCTCACTGTGTGGACACAGGTGAGAAACATGTTCCCCCCGCTCTTGCAGCAGCAAAGTGGACTGCCACATCTGAAACAACCTCTCTTCTTAGTCATATTCACTTTTTTGTGTTCCTTATCTCCCAGAGCATCTTAGGTAGATAAGTCCAACACATTTCTTGTATCTTGAAACCTCCAGTGGCAAAACCAATTATTAACACCACTATATTCAAGTTTTCTATTGACCTGTTCAATAGCTTTCATTTACATCCATCAGACTGTGAGGCCTAAAGATAATCTATGCTTAAAGGATTACTCAGTCTCTGGGTAGCTTTCCATTCCTGGACATTTCCCTGTTCTATCAGGATCCCTAAAAGCAAACAAAGAAGAAATAAAGCAGAATAAAGTGTTATTGAAAATAAAAGACTCAGTTGGCAATGTATGGAACCACTATAATTTTGAAGCAGATTTCTGAAATTAAAGTGCTATATATATTTGGAAAACTGTCTGGGGACTGCAATTTGTGAAACAACATCTACAAAATCACAGTAAAGCGTAATTGTATTATGGGAATGGATGCTAAGCACTAATTATCATTAGGAGACATATGAATTACATGTAATACCTTTGGCCTACCTTACTGCATGTTAATGGTTCATCTAAGGCTTTAATTTGCCCATTTTCATTACATATATATTATATTATTACAAATAAAAGTCTCTCTAAAGCTATTTTAGAAATTGTACTTGCCTGCAATGAACAACTACTGGACAAGAGCGACCCCTGTAGCACTTGTTTACTTTTCTGCAATAAAACAGACACAAAAAATTAATTAAACATATTACGTAACTGTTTCTTTAACCATCAAAAATAAGCAATAAAAAGTAAATATTGTGGGTCTTTAAAGAAATAGCCAGTTGGATCATTTCCTAACACAAAAAGCTATTTTAATATATATAATTTCTTTAAAGCTAGCTTCTGTTTGCCCATTGTAGAAATTCCCAACACTACCTTTTTGCAGGTAATATAAATTATCTCTTTTCTCAAATGTCTTATATGTTAGCTCTAAACTAAAATTGTCATGAGATTCCTTACTTTTAGAGACTAACTTTGAGTTCATGAGCTTGCTTAAAGAAATACCTGAGGAGCATCAAACTGAATCCAGAATTAAAAATGGGCAATGCAGTATAGTTTGTATAATGAATACTTATTTGTAAAACAAATCCTCTCCAGAAGAGCTAATAGCAAACCTTTGGAAAAGCTTATCACGAACTTCTAAAACATAATCTATTCACAGTAAAAACAATTAAAACCATCAGCAAGCTTTACTGCTTTGAATGAAGTGCAAAGCTCTTACAGTCCTAACAGCTACAGTCGTCTTCTCCAGCCTCCTGGTTGGAGATTGCAGTGGCAAGACAGTGTCAAATGGCTACCAAACAGATTTGTTGATACCTCCTTGCAGTGAAGGATTAACTAGCACTGAGGCAAACCAAGATACTCAGTCTAAGACTCTGAATACAGCCCACAGAATGGTTTAAACCTATTAAATCTACAAAACCCAAAACCCAAATCCCAAACCTTCTCCTCCGCTCTGGAGTGTTTCACCTCTGAAGTATGTTCTATGCCCCAAAGCATAAAATATGCACCCACACGTTACCAAGGCAAGCTGAATAAAAGACTTATTTATTCAAGCATATATTTGAGAAATCAAAATCTTTCACATGTCTTGGCTAGATATTTCAATGTATTAGAGGGTCTCCTACAACACCGCTCCATATCCAGGGATGCCAGATGCTCCTGTGGGCACCGGGAGTTTTTTTTTCGTCCTGACTGCAGCACTGACCCAGGGGGCTCTTGGAATGCCCCAACTGTGCTTTTAAGGTATTGTGAATTGTAAAGCAGAACTAACCTACTGAATCATTCAGTTCTTGGCTGTTCATCCATTCAGTAACATCTGCGCTGTGAAAACATGCATATATTTTTAAATATTGCATAGATTATAGCCTGAAGAGACCAAAAGGGAGCCTGTGTGGATACCTGGAGCTCAACTCAAATAGGCTATGGAGATGTTGGTTACGTCCCATGAATCCACGCTTTTATATTCTGCTTTTTATCATTTAAGATCCTCAGCAAACTCTGTGACAACACTAAGTTCCTGAAATGACTCCCCTTAGATACCAGAATACAGGATTTTTCAGTTTTTGCTCTTTCCCTCGCATATATAAATCACAGAGGCTTTCTGTGTTTCCGTTCTATCTATGTAGGCAATTCATGTGAGAGAACAACCAAGTTTGCATGAAATAGGTGGTAAGCCACTGAGAAGCACCTGATGTTGGAAACTGAATGGCACATTTACATGTCCAAAATAAATGTCTATGCAGGCACTACCAAGTAAAACTTACACATTTGATACGGATTTGAGCTGCAGCAGGGTTCACAAATGCTGTATTTAATTCTTGGGGGTCATAGCTCAGGATCAATTCTTATATACAATGAAAAAGCAGGACCTGATACAAGGGGTCTGCATTCTCGCACGTGCAGCGGGTCACCCCTCTCCCCTGCTTCATGTGCTCTGGGAGAGAGCAGCTTCTGCATTTCAAGTATTACATAAAAGCTAATAGCTACAAAAGGGCATTTACCATTTCTGTTTCTGCTTGTGTGGTTCCTTTGTTCATTGCATGGCACCACTAATATGACATTAGCATGTTGTGACTAGCCACCTCCTGAAGCCCTAAGACAGCTCCGAGGTAAAGTGTGAACTAAGCCTGTCAGTAAATCAGACGCAGCCACAGAC